CTTTTTAGGTGATTGGGATATTAATAGTCCTTCATCTTCCAATGTCATTTATGATGAACAGCCACCACTTCTCCCATCTTCACACTCTGCTTCCATGTTTGAAGAGTCTCATGTGCCAGGAACCGAAGACTCTCTGATTAGAGTTCAGATATGTGAAAAGGCAGAAGAACTAAAGAACACTGTACCAGAAAAGAAAAGCACTTTAAATGGAAGCCAGCCTGAAACGAAGCATCAGACTGTTCTCCAGAAAAACGTGAGTAAGAAGGATCCACCCAGTAGTCATGGGCACGGTGAGAAGAATCTACTAAAAGGAGAAAATAGTGTCACACGAAGAGGTAGATCTGCTAGTCCCAAAAAGTCAGCTAATCGACATTCAGAGGAACATTTGGAAAAGATTCCCAGGCCCCTAAAAAGTGACCCCAGAGGAAAATCTCGAGATCGGTCACTCAGCCCTAGGAAAGGAGAGACTAAAGGCCAGATCACCACTAAGGCAGGCTCTGGACAAGATCCCTGCAGAAAAGGCAGAGGACGCTCTTCTAGTCCCAAGAAGCAGCCAAAGCTTGGAGGCAGTGGCCCATCAAACACTGAAAGCAAGTTATCAGAGGCTGGGAGCCAAAGAGCGCTGGGCCATACCCTTGTCAGTGCTGAACAGCTCCCAGATGGGAAAGAAAGGTCAGGGGTCATCAGGAAAGATCTGAAGCAGACTCAACTGGGAAAAAACAGAACAAGGTCTCCAGAGAAAAAGAGCAATAAAATTGATGAAACATCTCTTCCATCCAAGAAGACTAACAACACTGCTAGTAGGGTGGTGTCGGAGAAGGGAAAAGGGAAGAAGCCAACCACCGGAGAAAACGTCCAGATCTCAGCAAAGCAGCTCACGCAGGAACCTGAGGAGAAGGTGACGTTAAGTAAAGTGGAAGAACATGGAGGGAAAGAACCGGAGGCCACTGACAAGTGCAGGGAGCATGCAAGGGGCACACCTGAAAACAGCTCTCCAGTCAAGAGAGCACCCATCACTCCAGGGCCCTGGAGGGTGCCACGAGCGAGTAAAATCACAGGCACTGCTGGCATGGCTGACAAACAGCTGTGACCTTTTGTATAATACAAAGAAAATGAAGTTGTAGCCTTTTACTAAAACACAGCATTCTTTTAAGAGGGAGGGGTGTGTTTTTCCCCAGAAAGTCTTCAATACCTAATTGGAGCATCAAGTTATCCAGGCTGCATGAAGGGCTTCTGGGATTGCTAAGACCCACCTGGCCCTGGCCGGCTGCCCTTCCTCATGTTCAGGGAGGAGCTGCATCCACGGGCTCGTTGCCATGCCCTGCTCAGGCCGCCCGCTCAGCAATGACATAATCTTAGCAGTGTGGTCACAACTCACTTTGTATTCGTGCCAAGTTATCTACTGTATCATGTCTGTTTTATCCTTCCCATTCTGATACTGCCAGTCATGAAAACAGTTCGGTTTGGCTTGAAGATGTTTTCAATAGCATGTTGCATGTTTACAGAGAGAAATATTTGAGTCCCTGAAGAGGAAAAAAATTGTTAGCTCATCATTTAAAGTTGGCACCTGCCTCTTCTCATACCTTCTGACTGTCCTAGTTTAAAAATTCAACTCAGAAACATCACTACATTACAGGAAAGGTCAAATACTAAAGATGCTTTTTTATGGCTAAGTAAGGTGTTTCAAGTAACTGTTAAAGTTATTCCTTACAATTGAATGCTCAGAATGAGAAAGTACTAAGCAACAGAATGAACAAGCTCCTGCTGTGTTAGCCAACCCTAATGTAGTTACAGTGTCTCAGATCACCTGCTGTAGTGAGGGAAGTACAGAAGCATGTGGAAGTACCAGTTGTTTCTCTTTAAAGAAAAACTACTATATCTGGGTATTTTGATTATTCATCATTAGTCTTTAATACATTATTGAAAAGCCAAAATACACATAGGTTTTTGTGAGGGACTTAATCATGAAGCCAGTTCTACAGTCCACTGCCAGACAAAGCACCAGCTCCTGTGGCATAGAGAAGTTCATCTGGGGGCAGAATTTAGAACCAGAGCCTGCACTGGGCTTCCCCAGCAAGTCAGGACTAATATGGTATAGACTGTATGTGGCGGAACTTTAATTTTTAGCTAATTAACTATTTAAAAACAGGAAAAGCTTTCAGAGTTCTTTTCTAAACTCTAAGAAAAAAAACTGTTTGAAAGTTGGAGACAATTTTTAACTTCATACAATAGATCAGGTAGGTTCCTTGAAACAGCATTCAGAAGCATCTATAAATACAGACACATTTCTCAGACCAAAACTGTCTACTTATGGAGTATTTGAACACTCATTCTGTTACCCTGTGAGTCTGACAAACTCCACTGTGACCAACTGTACTGGCCCTGTAGGTAACACATGCTTCCACCCAAAACTATATTTAACCCATCTATTATAACTACTTGAATAGAGAAAAATTAGGAGGCTTGATAAATGCTAAGAATTTAGTACTTCAGAAATGATTTATTTTCCCTATAGTCCACAATTAGTGACACAAATCCTATTTTTATTGTTAACTGTGACATAACTTTGATGTTGTATGTTGTCAGTCTGATATGGCTCTTCCTTAAGTAACCTGTTCACTGTACTGATTATATACTGACTTAGCCACGTGGCCTTGGAATGCTGAGCAAAATATGGATGTCCTGGTTGTAAATGTTTATATATGTACAGTACCTTTATATATACACTTGAGGTTCTGATTAGAGAAAGATCTGTAAATCGCTCGTTATTTTTTATATAGATATTAAAAAAGAAAAAAAAGTTTATGTCCTGCTTTTTTTTTTTTTTAACTGTCAGCATCATTTAACATTGCTGTTTGTGGAGCTTAGTTCCCATCATGATCTGAGTCATCAAAGTCTTAAAATCAGAAAGACATAATAATGTACCTTTGCCTGTACTTAATTCCCTATGTGGATGGAAGCCTTGAGTTGTATACCATTATGCCTATTTACATATTTCATTGCAAAGACATATTTTAAATGTACTTTTTCTCCACTACTAGAGAAGAGAAGATATTTCATCTCACTGGAATTCAGTTACTACACATTTATAGTGAACTAAACCAAGTTCATAGAATTCCATGGCAATTCTCATTATTTAAAACCATTTTATTTCTTTTAAACTGGACTTAATTTTATTTCACTTCATATATGTGTGTGTATATGTGCGTATACACACACACACTACTTAAATCCTACCTCAAAACTCTGGTTGATTAATACTCTTCAGGAGAAAAACTTCTGTGACTGCATGACCTCACACTAAAACTCCAGTTCCATTTCCAGGCCCACAATGGAAATGTGTCAGAGCAAAAGCTGCTGAAAGTAGAAGCCACAGTTCTTGGAGCACATTTACTGTTCCCAGACAGCTGCAGTCCCACAGCGGTCTTCTGACAGCTACAGCATCCTTACAGCCAAGCAGCTCTGAGCAGAGTCAACTCCTAGATCAAGCATCTTGGACCCAAAAAGCATTTATTTTGACATGTGAATACATTCATTTAATTAAAGGAAACTGAGGCAGCAAGATGGCTCAGCAGGTAAGAGCACTTGCTACCAACCCTTCCATGGCCAGAACTCATGGTAGGAAAGAACTGAGTCCACTGAACTGCCCTTCATGCACTCTGTACGTGCATTCACACAAATTAGAAAACGACAAACAGGGAAGACACTATTCTTGTGCAGAAACACAAAGCCAAATGCTTTGTAAACATCAGGACAAATGTCTGTTTCTCACCGGAAGTACTGAGGGCACACACAGAGCTTGAGTAAAGCTCTGCCTAGTGACCTCCACAAAGATGCAGACTGGAGCTTAGCCTACCGTATCACCTTGGGACCAAAGAACATCTGCACAGACTGACTGAAATACAACAGTTCTAAAAACTACCAGCTTTAGAAAGAGCACCAGATACATTTATTTGGGAAGTCTATCATCTTTAGTTAGCTGAATTCATCTGACAGGTCTACAAACTTGACAGGCTGTCAGTCCCTCCAGTGTACTGATAAAGAAGCTGAGCCTGTTCCAAGCTGCTGAGACACTATGCATACAAGCAGCATTAAATATGAGGGAGTATATGAGTGTTTATGAAGAATTTTTATCTAGTAGAAAAAGTCTAAATCTCACACTCTAAAATATGGACACAGCCAAATGCTTTAATTTAGCATAAACTCTGCTTTCACAGTCCTGTAGATAAATGCCTATTTCATACTATGTACATTAAAGTCAAAAAGAAAAAAAAAAAAACCAAATTCACAAACCAAGAAACTTGTCCTTAAGACAGCCACTAGTTAACCTGAGTCCTACCTTACTGGAGCTGTATGTGCTGTGCAGGATGGGTATGCCACTGCAAGTTTGTATTCAAAGTTCATCGCTCAGAAGAGGCACCAGTGACTGCAAGAAACAGAAGATTACTTAAATTACTAGACTAGTCCATGTATGTATAAATTAAGAATTCCCAAATCAAGCCGGGCGGTGGTGGCGCACGCCTTTAATCCCAGCACACGGGAGGCAGAGGCAGGCGGATCTCTGTGAGTTCGAGGCCAGCCTGGTCTACAGAGCGAGATCCAGGAAAGGCGCAAAGCTACACAGAGAAACCCTGTCTTGAAAAAACCAAAAAAAAAAAAAAAAAAAAAGAATTCCCAAATCACCATGTTTGAGAACAAGACCCATCTAGCCTATTAAAAATATGCAGATTTAAAAAGGGGGGGCAGGCGGTGGTGGCGATCGCCTTTATTCCCAGCACTTGGGAGGCAGAGGCAGGCAGATCTTTGTGAGTTTGAGGCCAGCCTGGTGGTAGCGCACACCTTTAATCCAGCACTCAGGAGGCAGAGCCAGGCGTATCTCTGAGTTCGAGGTCAGCCTGGGCTACAGAGCAAGATCTAGGACAAGCACCAAAGCTACACAGAGAAACCCTGTCTTGAAAAACCAAATAAATAAATAAATAAATAATTTTTTAAAATGCAGATTTAAATTTTTCAAAACTTTGTTTTATTAATTTAAAATAAGGTTGATTCACCTTGCATGGTTTGTCTACCAGTGAACAGAAAGCTTGAACCCATAAACTGACACATTTGAGACACTCTGTTATTTAGAATTTCTCTTGCTGAAAAGTGAAGAAAATCATATTCCAGTTAGGCAAGCACATGGTTATTTAGCTTTTCAGTGTTAAGTTATGGTCACAACTATAAACATGTCTAGAGGTTTATAGAGTATACCTCCATAGCAATTTTAGGAAGGATGATTTTCCCCAGTAAAACAGATTTAAAACCCAATCAATAAGTACATTTCTTATTCTTTGGTAGTTACTGCTAAAATGTATGAACAGTTTAACCTAATTCTATTTTTACATCTTGGTTTTATTTCTCAATAATGTAATACTACCAAAATCTTAGCCCTTTGGGGGAATCAAAGTACAAGTCACTAGATATTCCCCGGGGATCGATGAAGCACTGATTGCTGCACAGGAGTGACAGACAGGAGGGAGGGCTATTCTTCCCCCAGTGCATGTCTCCTAGGTATCTGTTAGGGAATCTGGTACTGTTGTTTTCAGGGCACTCACAGTCTAATGGGAGGAAAGACAAGTAGAAGATAGTGAGACACATGAAGGAAATCAGTGAGTGATGTGACTGATAGAGTTATGAGAGAGACGCTATCGAAAACTGAAGGCTGAGAGCTGATCATCAGCTATCCAGCGCAAGAGTGAAAAATACGTATTCCAAGGCAGAAGAAACACCTGGATACGCCTAGGAAGGGAAAACTTGGTAAAAGGGATGGTGTGAAGGCAGAGAAGTAAGATGAGGTAGAGGATGTCAAACTAGAAAGGAATGCAGCACTGTCACAGAGGCCCTGGAGGTGACCACAGGAAACTCCTATAAGGTTTAATGCTGATGGTGTAAGAATTTCCATATTTTAAGTGGATGCAGCTGTGGAAAATCAACTTTTCAGCTATAATGGAAATCCAACATGGCACAGCAGCCCAAGGGAGCCTAGAGGAGGCTTAGCTAGTGGCAGTGAAAACCATGTATTAGTTACTTTTATAGGACTTCGATAAAACATACACCAAGACAACTTACAAAGAAGTTTGTTTGGACTTACAGCTCCAGAAAGTTAGGAGTCCATGACGGTGGAGTAGAGGCAGCAAGCAGGCTGGCTGCAGCAAAAGCTGAGATCTCACATCTTGACTCACAAGCAGGAAGCAGAGAGCATGAACTAGAAATGGCAAGAGTTTTAGTTCTCAAAGTTGCTCTCCAGTGATACACTTCCTCTAGCTAGGCCTCCTAAGCCTCTCCAGAGAGTACCACCAATTGGGGAGGAGTATTCAAATGCTCCAGACTAAGCATGACATCTTTCAAACCAGCACAAGGCAGAGCTAGATTAAACATGGAGCCTTTACCTGAGCGCTGCATCAGCTCTATACCATTTACTAAGGTGAGGGAAATATGTCTCTCCTTAAAACTAAAAATAATGGGAAAAGTTTAATAGCAGATGTTAGGTTCTGGACAAGGGCAGCAGCACACGACGATATAAACAAGGAGAGCCCCAAGACTGCCGACAAGTAGCCTCTGGCCTGCAGTGTAGAAAGGAAAGCCAAACACAGCAGCAGTCTTGCTGTGACAGGTGCACAGGAAAGGTGAGCCCCTGAAGGAACCAGCACCAGACAGCGCAGTTGCTCAAAGAGAAGGAGAGCTCCAGGGACATGCAAAAGGGTAGCCTAGTTTTAACTGAGTACTGGTAGCATTAGCACATGAGAACCCAACCACAATGAACCTCCAAAAGAAGCAGGCAGAAAAAAGGCTAACATCCACACAGGGCTGGACTAGACTACCAAGGCAGGAAAACCTTGTGCCTCACAAACAGAAGACCAAGTGCAGTGCGTAGGAAAATGTTGCTTTAGCAGAAGAATTATCCTAAGTCTAGCTGCCCCTGGCACATCTACCAATCTTTAAAACAATCCTTGAAATGCCCTGTCTTGAAGAAACTGCATTTCAAAAAAGCTAAGTAAGATTACAAAACAAAACAACAACAACAAAAATACATGCATACAACACTGCACTCCCAACAATAAAATTCACAACCAATAAAAAAATTCCAGGCATGTAAAACAGGAACATGTCCCAAATGAAGAGACAACAACAACAAAATCCCAAATGACCCAGATAGCAAATATAAATATATAAATTATATGAGAGAAAATAACTATTTTAAGGAGAGACATGGAAGGCTTTGTTCCAAACTTTTACAGATGGACAATGTACTGGATAGAGCAGACAGACTAGCACATGCTTGTGATGCTGACAGATGGAGGGGGATGAGGAGCTGGAGGCCAGCCTTGGTTACATAGTGCAACCTGTCTCAAAAATTAATATACTGGATGAGATTTCCAAATTAGTGCAAAACAGGATAGAAAACTTAAAGGTACAACAAAAATAAATAAATAAATAAATAAATAAATAAATAAATAAATAAATAAATAGTCTGAAAAAGCATAAACTAGGTGAGCTAAGGGATGCTTCAAGCAACTTAATACACACATGGTGGGTTTGAGTCCCAAAGGGAGACACGTCAGAATGGAATGTAGAAAAATTATTTTTAATGCCAAAAAGTTTTATAATCTGATAACGTGAAAATATGAACTACCTATAAAATGATACAAAAACAATAAACCACAGATTCCTTAAGTCCAACAAACCCCAACACAAATAATATGAAAACAGTCATACCAACACAAACAATTCAGCTGTACCAATTCAGTGGTAAAGCTAACAATCTTGAAAGCAGTCAAAATTAAACAGAAGATTCGTCATTGGAGGAGGAACAAAAAGGAAAGACTTCTGGCCAGAGACACGGCAATCCAGAAAGCAGTGGGACAACTTTTTGTTTTTGTTGAAACAAGGTCTAACTATGTGGTCCTGGCTGACCAGGTGCTTGCTTTATAGACCAGGCTGGCCTCAAACTCAGAGATCCAGCTGCCTCTGCCTCCTGAGGGCTTGGGTTAAAGGTGTGCACCATTACCCCAGCATGAAACTACTTTTTTAAACCTAAAAATCTTATATTCAACAAAAATATCTTTTATACGTAATAAAGATTTAGGAATATTTCAATGGAATAGGCCTAAATACCTTATTTTAAAAGACTGGATTATCTTCACAATCACAGTAAACTATGGTTTTTGTTTTAGTTTGGTTTTTCGAGACACAGTTTCACTGGGTAACCCTGACTGTCCTGGGACTCACTATGTAGACCAGGCTGGCCTCAAACTCAACAGAGATCTGCCTGCCTCTGCCTCTTAAGTGCTGGGATTAAAAGTGTGCACCACCAACACCCTTCAACAGTAAACTATGAATGAATTCCAAATGAGACAGATTTTGCAAAAGATCTACCATCTTAAAAAAACTACACAAAAAACTAAACAAAAACAACACTGGATTGGACTAGGGGGAGAGGAAGCCATATATAAAAAAAAAATGGAAGCAGAAAGACCTTGTTTAAAACAATAATGTTAAATTGGAGTGGGTAGCAATGGGGACAGAGAAGCATGAAGTGATCAGAAGATAATTATTCAGACTTGGTACTGGATATAAGACAGGCAAATGAGCAACAATTCCAACACTGACAAATAATAGCTGCCTTTGTATATGAATTTACCCACCTGAAACACCAGCCTTTTCCACACCACCAAAATCATAGTCTAAGCTAACCCTCTAGTTAAATTACTAGAATTCACTGTAAAGGTTCCAGATAAAAAAGCCAAACTCTGCAAAACTTTATCTTAAATTTGAGACAATTGTTCCTTACGGAAAATGGGCAGCTACTTTCTGTGAGCCGTCTGTTGAAGCCTGGGGTGTCTAGAGATCAGCTTCAAGAATCACATCCCCTAGGGCTGGAAAGACAGCTCAGCAGTTAAGAGCACTTTCTGCACAATAATGAAGACCAGAATTCACATCCCAAAGAGAGTGGTGATAGGAGATCTGTTTGGCTCTGGCTTCCAGCCTGGCTGAAAGAACACGAACCAGGTTCAGGAGACCCTGCTTCAAAGGAACCAGCAGGGATTTGTAAAGGACACTGGACTTGCTTTACTGACCTCCACACATGCATATACAAATGTGTGAGCATACACTCAGACACATACACATGCACACACAGATCAATGGAACTTTGGGTTTTAAAAAAAAAGAAGTATAGCTCCCTCACAGCACTTGGGATGAGTGAGTATTCTTGCTGACCCACTACCTATATTTGTGTCTTCACAGTTATGACTGTCAGATTTTTTAAAGGGTGTAGACAGTAATAATATTTACAGTGCAATTAACGGCTATGTATTTTACATGGTGCTAGGAACTTATGACAATCTCATTAAACGGGAACGACCACATTAGGTAGTTATTATCACTACTTAACCTGTGAGGAAATTGAGACACTTAGTAGCAGGGACAAGGATGCAAACAGAGAAGATCTGTACAATTCCTGGAATCTTGGGAAGCTCATCTTTAAGTTCATCAATTTCCCTGCATACAGAATGTGTAACCAGGGCTGGAGAGATGGCTCAGAGGTTAATAATGCATGCAGAGAACCTGAGTTCCATCTCTAGCACCAACATGGCAGCTCACAACCATCTCTAACTCCAGTCTCAGGGCATCCGACGCTTTCTTCTGGCCTCAGACACCAGACATGCACATGGTGTACAAATATAGACACAGGCAAAACATCTATCCACATAAAATAAAGAGATATAAAAAATGTGTAATCAATCCTATGATATATATGTGTAGTACAAGAGATGTCCAAATTCTACAAAATCTTACCATTAAGGTGTTCACACTTCCAGTCTTCCTCAAGAGATTCTTCAAAGCAGAGAGCATCATGAGCAAGAATGCTGGTGTCTCCATTAAGAGACGCATGCATGATGAGATGCTCATAAGAAAACCTACATCCAAGGCACAGTGTGGCGATGGCTAGACACTGAGGACCTGAAATTGTACTAAAGGCTGGATACATGACATTGCATACATAGCAGGAAAACCATTAGCAAAGCCATGCTATCGAATGGGCATGGCTGAATTACTCATGAGTGCACAGGACTCACCAACAACTACACTTACAGGACTAACTCAAAAGCATACATTAAAATTTTCTCTACAATCAACAGAAATTCAGTTTAAAGTTACTGTATTTCTCCATCCTCCCTGCAAAAGAGCCTAGAAACTGAAATTCTCCAGTAAAGTTCTTTTATTTAGATTCAACCTAAAATAGTTTATCTCTCTTTGATAGAGAAATCCCCAATCCATAGACTATAATAGAAAAGTATTGAATTTGCATATTTCCAATAAAAGATAATTGCTTCATGCTTTGGGCATCTACCATGGTTACCCAAAAGACTATTTCCAGTAAATATAACTAGCACAATACTGGAGGGTCCAGGATAAATGTCCTGACTCAGAAGGTCCAGTGTCAGTCAGGCAGGCTTTCGTTTGCTGACTGTTCACGTTGCTTGAGACCATGAAAGTGCAGGTTTTCACACGCATGCCCAGGGAAAGGATGTGCCCTCTGGAAACTCCATTCGTTAGGCTGGGCTGAGCAAAGAGGTTTATGCATGTGAGCTGGCAAGGGTCGCTGGTTTCAGTGAGCCATCTTTGTCCTCAGTGGGCGAGCAGTGACACCAGCCAGAAAAGAATCCAGGCACACGACTCAGCTTAGGACTTAATTTTCCACAGCTGAGAAAAGAAAATCACCCAAAAGAAAAAAAAAAAAAAAAAGAAAAAACAAAACAAAAAATACCCAGTTAGCTGTAAGACAAATAGGTGGCACTTAAGATGTATATTCTTATGACTATGAACCAAGAACCATTTACGGTTTTATTAAAAGTTTATTATAAAGAACTTGCAAATAAAAAATTGCACACAGCAAGAGTAGCAGATGCAAGCCCCCCAAGCTCAGTGAACTTCGTACAGTCAGGGCCACCATCGCTAACTGCAGTGTGTCACAGCCGACTGTACACTTCCACTATCAATTGTGGTTCTGAGTTTTTTCACTTCCATTTCATTTACATTTTTAAAGATTTAATTTTATTTTATGTAAGTGTTTTGCCTACATGTATGTATGTGTACCATATGCATACCTGACCAGGGTCAGAAGAGGCGTCAGATCCCTTGGAACTAGTTCTAGATGGGTATGAACCATCATGTGGGTACCAAGAACTGAACCCAGGTCCTCTGCAAAAGCAGTAAGTGCTCTTAACTGCTAAGCCATCTCTCCAGCTCTCTCAATTGTATTTTTACGCACTTATCTATCCCAGATACACACAAAAAGATCGATTACAAAGTTAACACTAGTAAAACCACTAGCTTTATGCCCTTTTCCTCCATCACCTAATATTTACCTCCTGTTTTCCTTTCTATATGTTGTACTGTATCCACAGTACAGCTGTTCACATGTGTCCTTGTATATATTTTGGGCTAGTATCCACATGAGAGAAAACATGCAGGGTTCTTTATTTCTGAGATTGTGTGACCTCACTTAAATATTATTACATTTTATGTCCATCCATTTCCTGCAAATTTTGTGATTTCATTTTTCTAGAGCTGAAGAGCATTTCATTACATATGTGTACCAGATTTCCATTATCTATTCATCTGTTGATGGACAACTAGTTGGTTCCACTTCTTTGCTACAGTGAATAAAAGCAGCAATAAACATGGGGTGCAAATAGTTCTGTGGTGGTGAATGGAGTTCTCTGGATATATGCCCAGGAGTGAAATAGCTGGGTCATACAGTAGTTCTGGTTTTCATTTTTTGAGGTACTTCCAAATTGATTTCCATAAGAACCCTTTATATAGGAAGAAATAAATAATAATTCTAAAGGAGAAAAAAATAAATACTTCCAGAATCAAAAGTGGCACACTGCAGTCAGTTCATGTTTGCAGGTTTTCAGTCACTCCTGTATTTCTCTGGGTCACAGGAACATGTTCCCCCAGACCACACTATTGACATGAAATTCAAAATTGGATTTTTAGTTTGCTCAAGAGTTCAGTCTTTTACTTTTGTAAAATGAGAACAGCTAAGCTGAAAAGCCTGCAAAGCACCAAGTCCATGTCCTCAAGAGCTGGTTCCATGGACACACATAGTACTTGTAAGGACAAAAGGCTACAGAGCAGTGCTCACACGTACTCTTATGTTGAATCCTAGAAGATCGCTTATAACTCCTGAGACGGCAGAAAGGATGACTACTCTTGTGATGTTGTAGATTAAGGGGTTCATGGTCAGTCCATAGAGTCTAAATGGTGTGTCCAGCTCCTACAAAGACAGAGGAACGGAAATGAAATATGGCTTCACAATACTCTTACTCTATGCTGGTTTTCAGTCTTGGGTAAGGATGATGCTTATGGCTCTTTCATTAATATCCCAAAGCTACTTTCAAAGAGATCAGTGAGAGATTCAGTAACCTTTCCATGGCCTAACTGTGTTAAAGTGGAAGGGAGCAATAAGTCATTAGTACTTTTTTTAAAAGTGGCACCTTTAATCCCAGCAGTCGGGGGTCAGAGGCAAGCAGATCTCTGTAAGTTCAAGGAAAAAGACATGAGTACCCATCAGAGCCTAGGTGATGAGACTGGAGATTCTTTCCCATTAACCCCAAACCATCACACTAGCATTCTGAACCTATACTGCCAGAGGTCTTTTCTAAGAAGTAAAACCTGGCTGGACTTTATGACTCAATTCAAAACAAGCTTAATTTAATTCATCTTTCTTGCACAAAAACACTGAGCTGCCAGCAGCCAGAGCCTGAGCCCTGTATACAGAGCTAGGTAGGCCTTTGGCTGGTATGAATGTGTGGTAAAGAGAACTGACAGCCACAGATAGCTCTTTACAGAGGTCAACGATAAGAGAGCTGAAGGTCTTGGGTCCACCATCAAAGGTGACCTTCAGAAGCTGTCCAGAGCATCAGGGTAACTCCAGCCTAGGCAAGCAGTGATGAGTATGAGACAAGCAACTGCTTCTGGGGCCCAGTGGCACCAGTGATATTAGTGTCTCTAGGAACAGGCTGAGGACAAGCCACAGGAGCCATTCATGTGGCAGGGAGAGTGTGAGGCTGGGATATCTGCATCTCCAGCAGCCTCTTCACAGTGGGATGCGTGGAATTGACAGGAAGTATGGGCATGCTGGTGGCCACTCAGCAGGGCTAAGAACTAACACCCAGAGAAAACCATGTCCACTGGCCAACAGAGATCTGCTTTTCCACGATCAAACTGTATCCCGGAGAATAAGCCAGTGATCTCCCAACCTCCCCTGAAGAGACCCGTTCTTTTTCTGACCAGGCAGCCCAGCATGGTAATGGGGCCACTCTCCGCAGCCTTGCGTCGCTGAGCTCTGTGACAGTTCTACCCGAGCCCAGCCTGACTCCATCTGCCTCTGTTTTGCTGAGAAGCTGACTAATCTGCACTGTAGTCAGGGGTGTGAGCTATTACTTACCTTCAACAACTTGGTGGACAGCTTCAATACATTGTTTACTAGAGTGAGCTGTTCTTTCTTATTTGGCTTTTTTTCCATTTTAAGATATAAATTAATCTAAAGAAAAGAGAGAGAGTAAGGTAAATTTACAGAAAAAAAACCACACACTGCATAAAATCACATTCTCGAGTTAAACACACTTGGAATCTATGGATTCGGCACCCTGGAATCATGTCCTCTCCCATCCCTTAGCACAGTGGACCTCACCTCCTAATGCTGCGGCCCGTGAAGACACTGAATACAGCGCGTCATGGTTGGAACTATTTTCACCGCTACTTCATATCTGATTTTCTGCTGCTGTTATGAATCATAATGTAAATATCGGTGGTTTTGATAGTCTTAGGGGACCCCTGTGAAAGGGTCTTTAACCCCCAAAGAGGTCATGACCCATAGGCTGAGAACCACTGCTAACAGCACCTCTTTGTTAAAGAAAAGCTACTTAGGGAAAATAAAACATTTCCTGATGAAACAATTTAAATATCAAAATAACGAAAAATACTAACTGTAACATACTCAGCACTCAAATTCCTTGAATTCAAAGAATTCTTACTCTTCTCAGTACCCCCAAGTAATCTAATATCATCAGACATTTATGGAGAGGAAAAAAATAGTTGTTTTTAACTTACTAATTCCTGATTTTTCCTCTAAAGGAAGAATTATCCACCATGAATCTGAGGCCAAAAATAAAAAACAAAAACAAATTATCCCAAATTATTGTTTTTGTTTTTGTTTTTTGAGACAGGGTTTCTCTGTGTAGCTTTTAGAGCCTATCCTGGAACTCGCTCTGTAGACCAGGCTGGCCTCGAACTCACAAAGCTCCGTCTGCCTCTGCCTCCTGAGTGCTGGGATTAAATGTGTGCACCACCACTGCCTGGCCCAAGTATTTTTACTTAATGTTTATGGGAAACTTGAATTCAAAATTAAAATTAACAAAGAAAATGCATTATTATTACTCCACATTCACAAGAAACATCTGTCAATCTTAGTATGTGTTCATATGGTCCCTTCCTACCAATAACAGTATCTTTACAGTACAACAAAGTACTTCTAGGCCATTAGCTCTGCATCCTCCCAGCCCTCAGCAGGAGATAAAGGTGTCAGGCTCATTTTATATACTGTCAAAGAGAGAATTCAAGTGGCAAAAGTGACGTGCCGTCACAGCTAATGGGTCAGTTCCAGTCCTCAGTACCAACCACACAGTGTGAACCTGTAACCACTGGCCAAGCTGATAGGAGCCCATCAACACCTGTTCAGTGAGCAGTATGGAAACGTTGCTGTACTTCTTGTTGGTTTCTGACCCCAGGGAGGCCAAGCGAAGCAAGAACAGCAACAGTGCTGTTTCCCAGATCAAGAACTCCCAGTTGTAAGCATCATTCAGGAATGTCTTGTGGCCTTGAAGAACCTATCGAAAGACCAGAAAAAGCTCAGTAGTTGTCTTAACATCACATAACTATTCCTGTGTCAATTTTAAAACATTACCAGCAATCCACAGTTTTAAAACTCAGAGGAAAAAAGTTGAATATTCACAAGGTATTATTTACTTACTTAGCCATTATGTATTTCTCCAAGTGTCCTAAGTTTTTTTCCTGTTCATGAAAGATGGCAAGGGTCTACAAGGAGCCAAGGTAAGAAACGACCAACTTCCATTTCCTGAATCCCCAGTGTGTTCACAGGCACATGGGGCCACTACTGAGTGGTAACTGCATCTGTCTAACAAGCTCCAGCAGCAATGGTCCTCAGGCCAGGCCATTTCATGAGTCAGATAATAGCATGGCAACACAGCTGCACTGAGTGCCTACTGTGTGTCTTAAAGCTTTACTGCTTAAAGTAAAAAGCTTCACTCAAGAAAGTCCAAGGAAGTTAGAATAATTTCTTGAAGAACTATCCAGAGAACTCTGGCAGAAGCCAAATCCAGACTTAAAATAAGCAGGAAGTCACCAAGCAGCTACCCACATTCTTCCCTTCCCTCCTGACTAACTCTATGGCCTCACAGGAACCCATGAGCTTCCACTAATGCCAGCCTTGGTTTGTCATGATTCCCATGGCTGGAGTGCGCCTTCCTGATCTCCCTTCTCCAAAACCTGCCACCAATATCTCAGGCTCTTAACTCTGACTCTGAAAGAGCAAAGCTCTTTCTCTCAGTCTGGGTTGAGGTCACCGTGGTCAGTCAGCTCTAACCAGGATGAGGAAAGTCATAACCGGCAGCAGCTCACGGGAGCTTTAATACAGAGTTTCCTCACGCCCACAAATCACAGCTGAATGGCTACAAACCACCCTGATTCTTAAGCCAGGGAAAAAGGTTACTTTTTTTAAAAAAAAATTAAGAAAATCTTTCCATTCATTTTACACACCAATCAAAGATCCCCCCTCTTCCCTCCTCCTGCACCCCAGCCTCCCCCTCAAGAAGGCAAGGCCTCCCATGAGGAGGCACATCCAGTAGAGGCAAGTCTTCACAGACCTGGAAAGAATACTCAACTTCATTTGGAAAACAAAAACCCAGGATAGCTAAAAGAATCCTGTATAATAAAGCCACCTCTGAAGGCATCACGATCCTTGACCTCAGGCTCTACTATAGAGCTATAGTAATAAAAACAGCCTGGTACTGGCATAAAAACCAACATGTGAACCAATGGAATCGAATTGGAAGATCCTAACATTAATCCATACACCTATGAACACCTGATTTTTGACAGAAGTTTACTTTTTTTAAAAAGCAATGGTAAGACTAATAACTAACTTCTCGAGACAAAATATGGAGACCCAAAGACAACAGAGTCAGGTGTGGTGACATAAGCCTTTATTCAGAGGTAGGTGGAAACTCTGTGAGTTCAAAGCCAGCCTGGTCTACATAGAGAGTTTCAGACCAGCAAGGACTAATTAATGAGACCCTGTCTCAAAGACAAAAAAGAGGCCGGGCGGTGGTGGCGCACGCCTTTAATCCCAGCACTCGGGAGGCAGAGGCAGGCGGATCTCTGTGAGTTCAAGGCCAGCCTGGTCTCCAAAGCGAGTTCCAGGAAAGGCGCAAAGCTACACAGAGAAACCCTGTCTCGAAAAACCAAAAAAAAAAAAAAAAAAAGACAAAAAAGAAAAGAGGGTTGGACAGATGGCTCAGTGGTTAAGAGCACTGACTACTCTTCTAGAGGACCCTGGTTCAATTCCCAGCACCCACATGGCAGCTCACAACTGTCTGTAACTCCAGTTCCTGAGACCCAACATCCATGGCAAAACACTAATTAGTACATGAAATAAAAATAAATTTAAAAAAAAGAAAAGAACAACAGAATTCTAGAAGTAATGAAAAGAAAAAAGGGAAGAGAGAAAAAGAAAAGAAAAAATAAAACAACTAGCTGGCAACCTAGGATTCTTTCCCACCAAACAATAGCCTTCAAAAAATAAAAGTGAGCTGAAAGTGGGGCACCCAACTCTAATCCCAGTACCTGTAGAGGCAGAAGGATCAGAAGTTCAAGGTCATCCTTGTCTACATAGTAAACTGGAGGCCACATAGGACTACATGAGACCCTGTCTCAAAACACTAAAAAAAAAAGAGATTTCAAATGAGCAAACTGGGAAAGAACTCATCTGCAGCAAACCAGGACTAACAGAGCACTAAGGAAGTGATTCAGGCAGGAGACAGTTCCAGAAACAAACACACAGGGAGCAATGGAATGTGCAGCGGCATCTGAGAAGTCACCAGCTGCACAAACTAATGATTACAGCTTTGGGGCCTTAAATATGTATACATTTTGAATAACAGATAACGACAGAAAAGACGAATGGGTAAATGAAATCCAGGGTTCTAAGACCTTGTCATTAGGGGTAGAGAGATGGCTCACTGGTTAAAAGCACTGGATGCTCTTCTAGAGGATAGCAGTTCCATTCCTAACACCACATAGCAGCTCACAAGTGTCTGTAATTCCAGTTCCGGGGAATCCAATGCACTCTTTGGGACTCCAGATGTGACACATAGACATATATGCAGGCAAAACACCCATACACATAAAATAATTTTTTTTTGTCGTTTTGTTTTGTTTTGTTTTTTGAGACAGAGCTTCTCTGTGTAGTTTTGGTGCCTGTCCTAGACCAGGCTGGCCTCAAACTCACAGAGATCCGCCTGGCTATGCCTCCTGAGTGCTGAGATTAAAGGCATGGACCACCACCACCACCACCACCACCCAGCAAAATAAATCTTTTTTAGAAACCCTGTCATTATCAAGGAAGCTATAAATTAGACTATACTGAACCAACTATTTAATTAGACTTCACTAAGCTAATTTCTGAGGTTACTACTCAGACAATAGTAAATAAATGTAGAAGTAAACAGAGAAGACTAAATGGGATATTAGTGAATCAATAAACAAAAGACAGAAAAGAAAAATTAATAGGTGAACCAAACAGGAAGCAAACAGTATTTGTAGTTACAGCAATTACTTTACATTTAAATAGGTCGGGTACTACAAAAGACTAAGACTATGAAGTTGAATAAGAAACAGGTAACCAGGGGCTGGCAAGATGGCTTAGCAAACAAAGCTACCTGCCACTAACCCTGAGGACCAGACTTCAACCTTGGGAGCCCCACAACCCAGGTTCTATGTTAAGGATGGCCTCTCTGAACTCCGATCCTCCTGCCTGCCTCTCTCAACTGCTGGGGTTGTAGACATCTGCCACCACTGGAGGCTGTACTGCTTACATAATGAGAACGTACGTGTCTCAAGCAAGCAAGGAAACAAAAGTGCTTAAAGCAAACACTGGCAACAAACAATTCCACCATCATGAATCTAAGCACACTTCCCCCAAGAACAAAAACCAACCCCAAACTGAATATAGGACTTGAGCAATGTAATCACTATACCTAGAAAAACCAGTATGTACAGAACATTACTCTCAGCAACGGCAGACACAATCCAAAGTGCTAACGGAAGATTTAATAAAACGGAGCAATGCCAGCGAATAAAAGAGGCCACTACCCATTTTAAAGGACTGAAAATAGGTGAGTCTGTTCTCTGTCCACTGCAGTTACCACTCAACAGCTGGAGAGATATGTGATAAGCCTGTAGCTTCTTATAATACAGAAAGAATAAAAGTGCTTGAAAAAGAAGATAAATGTGGGACAATTCGGAGAGCAAAACAAGCTGATAGTGGATTATAGCCCACCAGCTAAAAACAAGGACACCGAAGCCTAATGAATGAGAAAGGTCAGTCCCCGAGAGTGAGAGCTAACAACGTTGAAGGAAGACTGTGAGTAGAATACTACTTACAACTATCAGTGTGACAACTTTATAGTCAAAAATTGCCAACTCCAGTTTCTCAGAAAATTGAGACTAAGTCTTCCTCAGGACCCAGCTATACCACTCTTGGGCACATACCCAAGGAATGCTCAATCTCACCACGAGGACACATGCTCAACTATGTTCATATCAGCATTATTCGTAATAGCAAGAACCTGGAAACAACCTAGATGCCCCTCAACTGAAGAATGGATAAAGAAAATGTGGCACATATACTCAATGGAGTACTAAAAGCAATAAAAAGCAATGATATCATGAAATTTGCAGGCAAATGGATGGAACTAGAAAGTATCATCATGAGTGAGGTAACCCAGACTCAGAAGGACAAACATGGTATGTACTCACTCATAAGTGGGTACTAGATGTCAGGGAAGGGATGGCCAGACTGCAACCCACAGCTCCAAAGAGGCTAGCTAACAGGGAAAGACCCTAGGAGGGACACATGGATGGCCCAGAGAAGGAGAAGTGGATGAGATCTACATGAGCAGACTGGGTGTGTGTGTGTGGGGGGGGGGGGGGGGGGGCAGAGGGCAAGGAGTGGGGCATGAGAACACAGGGAAATAGGAGGGTCAAGCTGGAACAGGGACAGAGTGGGAGGGCAGGAAGGGAGATACCATGATAGATGAGGACATCATGGGAATAGGAAGAGGCGGGGTGCTGGGGAGGCTCTTAGGAATCCATAAGGATGACCCCACCTGGGAGTGCTTGGCAGTGGTCTAGAGGGTACCTGGACTGGTCTACTCTGGTAACCAATCTACTGAATACCCTAACAGTCATCATAGAGCCTTTGTCCAGTGACTGATGGAGGCAGATGCAGAGATCCACAGCCAGGCACCAGACTGAGCTCCAGGAATCCAAGCGATGAAAGAGAGGAGGGATTCTGCAGGCGGGGAACATCGAGATCATGATGGGAGGACGTGCAGAGATGACCGGCCACACTAGAGGAAGCCCATGAACTGTAGACTAGTGGCTGTGGAGCCCCCATGGGACTGGACTAGGCCCTCTGGATACGTAAGATGGTTTTTTGGCTCGAACTGTTTGGGGGGCACCCAGGCAGGGAGATCGGGATCTGTCCCTGGTCTATGGGCAGGCTTCTGGAATCCGGTGCCTGTGGTGTGACACCTTGCACAGCCTTGGTGCAATGGGAAGGGGCTTGGACCTGTCTAGGCTCAGTGTGCTGGGCTCTGCTGACTCCCCATGGGAGACCTTGATTTGGGGGATGTGGGGATGTGGGGTGGCTTGGGAGAGAGGGCTGGGGGGTGGGAGGAGGGAGGAGAGGGGATCTGTGGGTGGTATGCAGAATGAGTAGAAAACTCCTTAATAAAGAAAAATGAAAGAAAAAATTGCCAACTCAACCAATTTAAAATCATCTAAAAGTTTTCAAAGGACTTCAACATTCCTACTTCAAAAAGTTAAAAAAAAATAATAGCAGGTATCCAAAATATCAAAAGGAATTTAGACACATTTAAAACATATACTTGAGCACACAGCAGCCTGCTCTAGAACCAAGTGGGCACTGCATAGAATTCCACCTTCTATTAAAACAGACACCAAACCTTTACCTGTGCACAACAAATGAAAGCAATCGAGAGTGTCAGCAAGAAGACAGACGACACAACCACATCCACTGAGCGCTGTGGACCCCGCCTCTGTAGAGCAAGACACATGTTAACATTTTAGGATACAGTCAGACAGCAACAGCCCTCACACCATTCACTTTGAGTTGTACTACATTCATGTGAAAATAAACGCATAGGAGAAATTTCTGACATAGCATTTTAACATATTTCAGGCATCAACCTGAAACACTAAAAGTCATGTTTTCCAAATTAATGTATTTTCAGTTAGGATCTTTCCCAGTCAGAAAAGCATGTGATCCTTAGCTCTGTCTTAGGCAACAGTTCTTTTTCTTTCTCTTCCTTAACTTAGATACCACTACTATCTTTTCTATATATCATTTCTCACATGGCATTGAGCAAGTCTGTCAGCCGCTGAATTGTGAGCCAGTAACAAATCCCCGAATACTTAGCCACACTTAGATGAACTGTGGCCAGAATCATCAATGCACACGTTTTCCATAGCACTGCAAACATTCCAGAGTTAATCAAAACAGCTTACCTTCAGATAGGAGCGCAGCGATAACCATATTTTAATGTTCTCCACCTTTTTGAGTCTAAAATGAGGTATTTCATATTTCCTGGCTTTCCTGGCAGAAGTAATATGGCTGAAGAGTTTTGCAAATAAAAATCTCTAAAGGAGATTGAAAAAAATCACAAAGTAAAATGTATATTGTCTGGGTACATGTTCAATAACCATCAATAGTATTCCTGGGATTTATTTAAAGTGTTAAACAAAATCAAAATTCTCATCCAGTGGCTCCCTAGGATAGCAGTGTTCACTTCAACACCTATCCCACAATGAAGCACTTCTTCCAAACTCGGCACGTTCTCAATGCAAGCAAGGAATATTCTTTGGAACTTTCAATGAATCCTTAACTTTCACAACCTCTAATGTTTATACCCAATTCTAGCTGACTCCTTGTATTTCCATTCAGATATATTCCTTGTGCACATTTCCAATACAGGAACTCCTCAATCCATAACTAACCAGATTTCAGTTCATTTCTTTACTTGGCCATTTTTTACAAAAATATTATGATTTTGACACTACATAGGCTATGAATAAAATACAAGGTCCTGATGCTGAGCAGTCAGCAACATATACCACTTGTTTCTACATACAGGCTTCAGCAAAACTTCAGAAGACATGGCTACTGCACTCTGGCTGCATAGGACCGGCACAAGATGGAGCCCGGGGACGGGCCTGTCATCTGTGCTGTGACGGCTGAGTTGTCTCACTCTCGTTAATAACTCCACACCCACACTCAGGCAAACAACCTAATAAAACTCAGGTCATTTAAAAAAAAAAACATAAGAACAGAAAGGAGAGCTGGTGAGAAGAAAAGGGGGTCTGGCAGATAAGAGAGGGTAACAAGTGAGTTGATCAAATATATTATACGTATGAAATTGCCAAAGAACCGAACATTTAAATATTTTTAAAGGTTTCAGATTGTAACATGTTTTTCAAATAGTCAACAGTATGAACATTAAATGTACAAGTCTCCAAGTCAAAGGACCAAAATGACTCGGTGCAGTGCCAAGTAGAGGCAGAGGGGGCAAGGGCTGCCTGTTCGTCCACTCACCTGCTTGTATGTTCTCTCTGCCACACACATCATGAAGAAAAACATCCAAGTAAGACACAGTCTTTCAAAAAAATTAATTATAGACAAAATAACAACAGGTGTGACAGGCGGTGCCCCACAGAAGAGGGTTAGGACCTCCTCTGCTGAGATGGACTTCAGTTGATCAAAACTCTTCTCTCGGAAAAGTCGATATAAAAACGGGAAAAATGCTAAGCCAATGGTGACGGCGTTCCCCAGCATCTGATAGCCGACTCCTTGCTGGTATGCATTGACCTACAACCCAATTTAAAATCTCCATCAGTACTACACAGGGAAAGGGATTTACCAAAAGTATTTATCAAATACTATTTTGAATGTTAAAGATGAATCTTAAAAGGAATACACGTAAGATGACAGAAAGACTTGGCCTGGCGTTAGAGCAAAGCACATGAGAGGCCCTGGTTTCAATCTCCAGTACCAAAGAGGGGATGATGTGAACGCTCATGCCTAGCCACAAACTCGATTTCAGTCAGTAAGGTACAAAGTGTAAAGTCTAATGGTACAAAGTGTAAAGTCCTCCAACGAAAAACTACTTCAAAATCTGTTTCCAAATTGAAGTTACAAGTTGTCTTAATTAGGGTTACTATTGCTGTGATGAAATAATGACCATGACCAAAAGCAAGTTGGGAAAGTAAGGGTTTACTTCCCCTTATACTTCCAAGTAATAGTCCTTCACTGAAGGAAGTCAGGACAGGAACTCAAACAGGGCAGGAACCTAGAGGCAGGAGCTGATGCAGAGGCCATGGAGGGGTGCGGCTTACTGGTTTGCTCTCCATGGCTTGCTCATCCTGCTTTCTTACAGAACCCAGGACCACCATGCCAGGGATGGCACCCACCCTCCATAAGCTGGGCCCTCCCCCAATGATCACTAAGAAAATGCCCTCCAGCATTTCCAGGATCTTCTGGGAGCATTTTCTTAATGGAGGTTCCCTTCTCTCAGATGACTCTAGCTTGGGACAAGTTGACATAAAACCAGCCAGCAACGTTAAATAAATTACTGAACAGCCCATTCTGAGTGCTTTTTTCAAGAACGCAGAAGCATGCACTCTTACCCTGCTCATGATGATGCCGCTTATCTCCAACACAGACATGTCCATCTTTTTACACTCGTTTCCTTCCCAGATTATTGCACTAACTCGCTCAGAGGCAGGACTTGAATTCTGAAGCCAGAATAAATGATTCTAGGAAGAAAAGATAGAAAACAGTTTCCATCCACTCCATCTTTCCTCTGTTAGTTCTTCTCTCCTTCGATCCAGCTCCCAGAATCCAGTGTTCAGTTTCATCATACATTCATTCTCTATCTCAAAACCTATCACTCCAAGAACTACTTGTGTGGTGGTCTCGCCTAGAGAGCTAGGATCCAGGATGTGCAAGGTCACTGCCTCTCTAAAGGTATGAAGGGCACATGATGTGTTGACATGGTATTAAGCACCTCTAGAGCCACCGACTGCACTGGGAGTAGCAGGAAGTGGGGAGGGAAAGGGGCCTAGAGCCTTAGAGGCCATACAAACAACTGGGATGTTCTGAGGTCTTTAGGACAGGGAAAAGCATAATGGCCCAAAGACAGAAGTGATGGTCACCATGACAACAGCTCCCACCCTCCTCTGCTAAGACTGTCTCATTGACAGTTATCACTTCAGGAGCCTTTTCTCCAACTGGTCCTCACCACACCCTTGAGCCCGATTTTGCTCTGAAATCAGAAAGTGTATCATCTGTATCATTGTGCCCACAAACTACAGTGAAACTTTTAGAACAGGAGCACACAGTAGGTATCTGCTAGAAGGGGAGCACATATGGATGGTTTCTTTTTCTACCACAAAAAGATGATGAGCATTTACTGATTTTACTGATGCATTTACTATATCCAGTAAATACTTATGAAGTGCCTGCTGCAGACCATGCTTGAAGACAGGACACACTGTAGCAGCACATGCCTGTAATCTTAGTGCTCAGGAGGCTGAAGAAGCAGGATAGAAAGCTTGAGGCCAAACTGGGCTACATAGCAAATGTCAGGCTATCCTGAGCTACAGGGCAAAAGGACACACGGCCTTGCTATCTAGTAGCTTAGAGACTACTAAAGGAGACATAATTAAAGTCACTGGACAGCATTCTAAGGGAAGGAGAGTAGACTTGAGGAGTGCACAGGAAAGGATTCCAAAAGGAGCCCAGCACTTCAATCAAGACCTGTCTGGAAAATGAAAAGGGTAAGTCACAGAGCAAAGGTACTTCCCAGACGAAGACACTGTGTGCAAAGGTCCAGAGGCACATGTGGGCTGGTGCTTCAAACACCAGCAGGAGGTCAGCTGAGTTACAGAGCACATGTGCCAAACAGGTAAGGGATGAAGCTGTGTTAGAACAAGTAAACAAATGACTGCTCCCCAGCAGTCCAAACATAAATGCCAAACCTTTTCCATGTCTTCAATGGCAAGTCAATGAAAAGGAAAAACAAAAACAAAAACAAAACCATACTCATTGCTACTTTCAAGGCAATTTAGAGGCAGTTTGGAAAGAGTCAGGTAATAGCATAAAAACTGAAGAGGGATTATTAGCCATCCATGAGACTGCCCCGAGAACCAACTGCTAATCTTTCTACCCACCATCAATGTGGCCATACACGCACTAGCTCTGGGGCTGCAGCAGAGGAGCACTGGCCACACTCTTGTCGTGCATCACACTAGCTTCTTCACACTCTTCCTAAAACTACTTCAACACATGACAAATGGTTAAAAATAAATTCTACAGATGTAGAATGAGTCAAGTATCTTCTAAGGAATCTATGATTCTAGACTAAAATCAAACCTGAGATCCAAAGTGTCACTTGATTTGTGCTTAGCAGAGAAGCAAGCAATACCATTGCTGTATAATTTTTATGAAATATGAAATTCAATAAACCATAAAACAGAGTACCAGTCAAACAATGCCACTCAGAGAAAAGGAACAGTAGAGATCATCTGAAGGAAAACAAGCAAGTATTATGAAGAGAATTCAGGCCAAGGCAACTGCAGAGTGTTCTCAAGTTCTCAACATCCTCTCTTATGAGCTATGCTCCATTTCCCCATCTCTAAACTGGGGATGACAACAGAACCCTTATAAGACTGCTGCAAAGTTCAGTAACATGGTACAGTGGCTGACAAATGCTGAGTATGTTGTAAGTATCAGCTATCTGCTCTAGTTCTGTTTCTGTTGCCATGGTAAAACACTGACCAAAAGCAACTTGGGAAGGAAAGAGTTTATCTCATCTTACAACTCCCAGGTCACAGTCCATCACTGAGGGAAGTCAGAGCAGGGATTCACAGTAAGAAATAAAGCAGAAACCACACAGGAATGCTACTTCCTGGCTTGCTCAGATACCTTTCTTACATAGCCCAGTCCTACCAGCCCAGGAATGGCACAGCTCACAGTACCCTCCCACATCAATAAGCAATCAAGAAAATGTCCCCCAGACTTGCCCACAGACCAATCCAATAGAGGCAATTCCACAACTGAGGTTCCCTCTTCCTAGGTGACTGTAGTTTTTGTCAAGTTAGCAAACACATTAACTAGCACAATATTTTAATCACTGTCCTCATGTACCTGCTGAAAAACATCTTCTTTGGGGTCACGTTTGGTCCCTGAATGAAGGGTGTTTACATGAGTCCCCTCACTGTCACTGGTGACAGATGACCGGCACTCTGGGCCATGGAGAAGGTCATCCCATAACATATCCTCGGTCTCTGAGTCATGGCGGGTGCTTTCTGAGTCTCTTCTTGACAAGTTAAGGCTCCGAGAGCCAACACTCACACCGGACCTAGAACCCTTTAAAGGAAAACAAAAAAGGGAAAATACATATATTTAAAAGTTATATTAAAACAAATCATTCTGCAAGGGCTGGCAGGCTTTTTTAAGTTGACCGTAATGTATTTATTAATTTCCAAGGCTTTATGATAATGCATCTTAATGCTTAAATGCCAAACTCCAATGACTGTGGATGATGACTAATCTTGGTTGTCAGCTTGATTACATGTGGAATCAACTAAAACCCAAGCTGCTGTGCCCTCCTATGAGGGCTTTTCTTAATCAGATGGTTTGAAGCAGGAGGACTCACCCTAAGTCTGGGCCACATCATCTGATGGCAGCCTAGGTAAAAGGACACGGAAGGGGAGCTTTGCCCTTTGCCTACTTTTCACTCTCACGTCAAGTCCATCTATCCTATTGCTGCACCTGGTCTTAAATCCAACTTCTTCAGGATTCCAACACAGATGGAAGACCAGAAAGCCCTCCAGTCTTCCTTAGATTCCAACACCAACCAGGGACTGCTGAGTCATCCAGCCATGTGGACCAAACAACCACTAGATTCTCAGCCTTTCTGTCATGAGACAAGTCACTGATGAACTACTCAGACCACAGCCTGTAAGCCAGTCTAATAAATCCCCAATGTAACATATATGTGTGTATATAGTGTATATATACATACATACATATACATGAATATATATACATATATCTACATGTACAAATATACATATATATGCATGTATTATGTATGCACACTATCAGTTCTGTTCCTTTAGAGACTCCTAACACACCTGGCAAAGCAGGACTTTAAAAAAATTCTAAGTAGCTACTAGCAAAACATTCAACTATTCAACTTAGATATGCTATGTGGTGAGTGATTCCTGGACATACACCCTGAGGACCTGCCCAGCTGGCCTGGCTAAGCCTTTTGAGACACTGTGAGCTTGACAAAAGAGCTTGTTTTGTCCAGGGCTCAGCCAATATGTTCAAAAATAACAAGGCAGAGAAAAGCAGAGATACCCTAGCAGTACAAACAGAAATATGAAACTTTTTCCATGACCCCAATTGCCTGGTCAAACACAGCAAAACCACTACCATCTAACTATGCTCACCTATGAAGATCACATTCAAATATGGTCCTGCATTCTCAAAATCAAACTCTTCACATATCCTGTCTTTTAGAGGTCCCTCTGCTAAAGTCTGTCTTCAGACATGTCAACCCCACTTAAGATAAAATTCCATATGCCAAATGAGGATTAAGTAACCATGGCACTTAAGAACCAGGCTGGAGAGATGGCGCAATGGTTAAGAGTACTTGTTCTTGCAGAGGATGGAAGTTGGATTCCCAGCACCCACATGGCAGCTCCTAACTCCAGTTCCAAGGGATCTGACACTCTTTTATGACATCTGCAGGCACACACATGGTGCAAAGTCACACATACGAACAAAACACTTACACACATAAATAAGTCTTTAAAAATATTTAAAAACTGAGTCTCTCTCTCTCTCTCTCTCTCTCTCTCTCTCTCTCTCTCTCTCTCTCCCTCCCTTCCTCCCTCCCTTCCTCCTTCCCTCCCTCCATCCCTTTCCCTCTGTGTATGTATGCTTGCATGTGTGACCAGAGAGTCCCAGAAACGCACCTGTCTCTGCCTCGCTGTTGCTGGCATTGCAAAGATGTGCCACCATGCCTAGCTTTTTCTTTTTAACATGGATTCTGGGGATTAAATTCAGGTCCCATGCTTATGAGGCACGCATCTTACCAACAGAACCATCTCCATGCCCAAAATAACTGTCCTCCTGAGCATCAACTATGACACATCTAAAGATTTACTTATTTTATATGTATAAGTGTTCTGACTATATGAATGTATGTGCCTCACATGCATGCCTGGTACCCTGATGCCGACAGAGGTCAGTCAGGGCAAGAGAGCCCTAGAACTGGAGTTCTGGATGGTTGCAAGCCACTATGTGGGTGCTGGGAATTAAACCTAGGTCCTCTGAAAGATCGGGAAGTACTCTCAGTCACTGAGCCATCTCTCCAGCCTATCTTTGATACCTTTAAGATTAGGGGGAAAAAAAAAAAGAAAAACATTTCCTTTCTAGGGGTGAGCAGTTATCTCAAATTGAGCTGACAGAACTGAAATCGAACTAAATACAAACTTCACAAAACCAAAAGAAAAGAATAGATAAAAGTCATTGCACACAAGAAGACACCTCAAAGTCTGCTCTTACAAAAGGATGCTTTACCTGGCTGAAAGCTGCCGATTCAAATTCTGATTCAGCCAGACTATCGGAATCCCGTACTATATGACACCACCTTGTCGTGGTTTTCTTTACCTGCCAAAATCAAATCAACAAACAACAGGAAAGCATGTCAATATCTTGCTACTATTCAATGTTTTTAGAGTTACCATCCATGCTTCTGTAGACAAAAGTAAAACTTACCTGAGAGTCGAGGTGCCTTGACAGTATGGATTTTCTAGTCTTCACTTCACAACCATTGTCACTGGACGCCCCTTCCACACTCCTACGCAGTAATATCATCTGTGTCCGTGCTTCGCCGTCCTCCTCACTTGACAGATCATCTGAAATCCCATTTCCCAAACGCCTGTAAGCCTCCTGCAAAGACAAGCAGTATCTCACAAAGAACAGCAAAAAACACTCCAGGAAGTTGCCCACGTAAAAGCAAAATTCACAGAAAAGTTCCCAAGAGATGAAAGGATGAAACCCAAACTAACAAGTCTACTTATTACTTGGTGTAAACATTTTTAACAATTTCAAAATTAAGAAAACTGTGTACTTGAAACTCAGCAGCCTAAATGAGGGGCAGTATGATGACACGTCACTGCACAGGCTCAGGTCAAACTCTGCCTGAACCACAGCTCTTCTGCGTACTAGCCATGCAATTAAAACTGAGGTTCAGTTCCCTCCTCTGGAAGTCATGATGACAGACAGGACCTACCTCATAGGGTTGTTGTAAACAAGGAAGTCAGTTTGTACTTGTCAGGCACTTAGAACAATGCCTCACTGCAATGATGGCTTAATAAATACGAGAATAACGAGAGGATGGGACAGAGGAGTAGGATGAGGGATAAGTATTTCCAAAGACATCTGGAAAAGCTATACAGAAACCTGTTATAAGCATCCTGAAAGAATAACCAATTTTGTTGATATGAATGAGCTTAAATGGAGTTATCATTCACAAGGAGGTTCATACACCTCCCAGAAGCCATAGGTTCTCATCAACAAAGAGCCCAGTGCCAGGTTTGACACACCTCTCCCTTCAAGTTGTTGTTGTGGGGGGAGCTTTCCCAGAGACACCCAAAACAAGACATGCTATTGCCATTACTCTTGGTGGCACACCAGAACTTGATGGTTGGACTCTACTGCTAAAGAAACAACACACTTTGGTCACAGGACTTGGAGAAATCAAGCAGGTACTGATCTGGAAGCTTACTCCTGTTGACTAGCTCACAGCACCAGAAGGTGCTATGTAGGCTTCCAAGAGAGAAAAGTCATCAAGAGTCTTATTCAGCTGTGAGCCCTGTGAACTACAATAACTGGTTTTGCAAGATTTGCCTACTGGTGCAATGCTGGCATGAATGTTATGGGAGCAACCTATTGCTTTCTGATTGAATTTAAAGCCCACTCCACAGAAGAGAATTCTTGCCTAGTGCTATAAACCTATGGCCAAAATTCCATAGTTGGGAAGCTCATAGGCCCTTAAATTTCCCTAAATGGACACAGTATCAAATTGCCTTCTAAAATCTATCTTTGTACCCTAGATTAGAAAAGCTATCAGTACTCATCAGAGAAGCTTCTTTTTCCAATGGACATCTGTTAATAAAGACTCACACCTGGTCAAATTACAGAGTAAGTGTCTATGAAATGTACAGCCAAAAATGAAACATCTGTATCACACCACCCTCCCCTCAAGGCTCAGGGAACATTGGTGAAGAGAAGGCAGGAAGTCTAAGAACCAGCCGTCAGAGAGGACTGCTGCAAAACAGTGTCTTCTGGACATGACAGGAACACTCTCCTCATTAACTCACAGCAGCTGTGGCGCCTGCACAAGATCAAAACAGTCAACAGTCCAGCATGACATGGGAGGGACTCCCAAGACCTCCTCACTAGCTGCAGAGCTGCTGGCAGACGATGGCTGCTGGAAAGAAGAGTCTGTTTGCTTTAGGGCTGTGGTCTCTGGTATGTTACCCACGTGCCAGAGGATGGCCTACACCCATGTTCATACTGGCAGCACTAACTGGACTCAGTGGGTTACAGAAGAAGAAGGGGACGGGACGATGAGGATGACATAAAGCTAGGAGGGAAATGGGGAGGGGGAGGTCCAGCAGATAGGGAGGGGTTAGATATACTCGAAATACATCATGTATACACATCAACTCCTCAAAGAATAAAAAATACTGTATTTTAAAAATAATAAAATGCTCAGGAATAAACCTTAATAAAGTATTAGATTAAATGCCTCAGCTCAAGGCTGAGAAAACATTTCAAAACGACAAAACAAAAATGTGTAGTTTTAGACACAGAACAATCCACCTGTACTAAATCGAGAAGTTTCCCAAGTGCTTTACTAAACCGACCACTGCCTCTAGAAAAAACAAGGTTCCTCTACACTGCTCTGGTTTTTTCGACCTGCCCACCCACCATGAAGGCTGCTGAGTAGCAGACTCAGTAAGGTCTCCTCCTGGCGCATAAGCTCCCGTCTGCTTATAGTATTTCCTTGTTCACAACCAGTGGCTTTACTTACAGTTTGTTGACAAACTTTCACACCTATGGGTATCTAGTTTGCGTTTCTAACACAGTCTCAGAACAGAAAAACTTTACATAGGACAAAAAAGATACTGTTACAGCCATCTAGATCTTACCCTACGGCACTTTTCTCCATCCGAAACCTTCGCTTTCTCTCTTGCTTGCCACATTCTGATCTCTGGTCGACCCTGTCTCTTCTTAATGATAGGATGGAGAAGACAGCCTGAGTCTTTTTCAGTTTCAGTCCCTTTGTTAGATACTAATTTCACCCTTTTAATCCTATTTATTTAAAAAGAAAAAAATGTTACTAATTACTTTTCTGAGAGCAATATTTTTCATGAAATGAAACTTTCTTCTCTGGAGTACAATGTATTACTCTGAAAGTCAAGAAAATTCAGAAATTGTATTGTTCAGACCTCTAGCTTGTGAAAGGTATTCAAAGGCAGATTATTCACTCACTCATAAAGATGAATCTCTCTCGGCTCACCTCTCCAGGGGAATACCCACTTCTATCTCATCCTGCCCATCCATGCACCTCACAGTACCTGCCTCTCTTCTATTCACTGTCCTAAACACTAACCATGCTTCAAAGCCCAGAATACCTTACCCCTTACTCCATCTGCTAAGCTACATACCAGAATACAATAACCCAGAATGAGTCTATTGTACTGTGACTTGACCTTCCTACTACTCCCTTCCTGACTATGACAATCACCTAGGACACAGACTGCACACTATCCAGCATAACTCAAACACTTCACCAAGGGAAGTAAATACATCTTTAAAACAATGTGTGAACATACTTCACCTTCAAAAAAGAGCTTTATTTAATTCACCATCCTTAATATAAGAAAAAACAAGTGCCTGAGTCATCAAACAGGTACTCTTATGACCTGCATAATTAAAAATGAGTTATAGTGTGTCTTTAATCCATTTGTCTTTCTATCCTATAGCCCATCAACATCAGGTTTCTCACTGCACCCCATTCCTCATGGGCATCAGCTCTAAGAAGCCCCATCTTTTTCAAATTCTCCTTTCTGTCAAATGTTGGCTAAGGCCTTTTAGCCTTTCAGAGGGCTTTTTGCAATCATGGTCTAAAAAGCCATTAAAATCAAATGCAATGAAACGCTGAGAGTAGATTACTAGTTTTATAAGTAACATGAAAGATGGTGGAGATAATAGTCTGAGTAAGCAAGTCTTTCTAGAATGCTTAGAAATCACAGAACTATCACACCAAGCTCACACTCTTTACATTTATGGCCAATCATGATACAGATCCTGCAAACACTAAGGTGAACACAAAATCAAGTACAAATTCCAATAAAAGAGACTCCCACCTGTTGCCAAAGAGAGTCCCCCAAAACCCACCAACACTGGGTGCAGATTCCAGAGTTTCTACGGCTCTGACTTTATCAGGGGAGTTAGTTCCATTGTCTCGGCTCCCATCACCATTTACAGTTTTTCGTAATTTTCTACAAAAAATATTTCAATAATTTTAGATTATTCAAGACCTTTTCTATTTATGCCCATAATAAACCTTCAGAAAATTATGCTAACAGACTATTTCCTGAAATCAAACATAGTTAGCCTCCTACACCAAGGACAAACGACTATAGGACATTTCTGATTTAAGGACAAAGCAGATTCAAGATCAAAGTCCTACGCTATCACTTTGTTCAGCCACTGAAGAAATGGAACTACAGTCCAGAGGAGGAACAGAAAAGAGTATCAATGTGTGGCCATGAGCCTCCTCAGGCACCCTCCACACCAGCCCGATGATAGCATTTCTCTCCATGTACATTAGCTGTCTACCCACCAGCACATTTAATCAGGAAACAACCAGTAATGGCACCTATCATTCCCATTAACATTCTACATTGTTAAATGATTCACAACTATGACCCGATTCTGTTGTAGACACCCCCCCAATAAATCAATGAGACACAGCCCAGTGACTGATTACTTTAGAAAATACTAAATTTATAGGGAATCTCTTTAAAAGCAAATGTTCTAAAAATACATTGAAAAATAAACTTGTTGAAATTCACTGAACCCAATGTCAATGTCTTATTTATTAGTTGCCTAAGTAAAGAAATCTAGAAATAGTCTGAGGAAAGAGCAAACAACCTGGAAGCTGACACTGAGCCTACTAAGAGAATGGCACCACTCCAAACCGCATATACCACCACACAATCAACACAAGTCTAACAGAGTCCATAGCTCAACAATCAAAAAATTGGCTTGGGGTGTTGTATTTTGTTTTTAAGACAGGTTCTTTTTTTTTTTTTTAAAGATTTATTTATTTATTATCTATATAGCATGTCTGAGTGCAGCCCAGAAGAGGGCACCAGATCTCATTACAGATGGTTATGAGCCACCATGTAGTTGCTGGGAATTGAACTCAGGACCTTTGGGAGAGCAGTCAGTGCTCTTAACCTCTGAGCCATCTCTCCAGCCTTTAAGATAGGTTCTTACTATAAGTCAGGTTGGCCTGGAACTCATTACACAGACCAGACTGGCCTCAAACCTGAAGCAATCTTCCTGTCTCTGCTTTCCATGTGCTAAGATATAGCATGTACCATAAGGCCAGGTTTCAATTACACATTCTTTTTGAAAAACAGGTCAAAATGTTGGCAGTGTTAACCCAATGTGCTGTAATCCTTATCCATAGTAAATTTTCACAATTTTTTTGTTGTCGTTGTTTGTTTCTTGAGACAGAGTTTCTTTCTCTGTGTAGTCTTAGCTGTCCTGGAGCTCTCTCTGTAAACTAGGCTGGCCTTAAACTCAGAGATCCGCCTGCCTCTGCCTCCCCAGTGCTGGGATTAAAGGTGTGCACCACCATACACCACCACCAGTCGAATTATAAAGAGAATGTTTCTCAGCTGGGCAGTGGTGGCACACACCTTTGATCTCGGCACTTGGGAGGCAGACACAGGCAGATCTCTTAGTTTAAGGACAGCCTGGTCTACAGATCAAGTTCTAGTACAGCTAGGGCTACAACCTGCCTTGAAAAATCAAAAAGGAAAAAGAAGAAAGAAAGAAAGAAAAGAAAGAAAGAAAGAAAGGAAGGAAGGAAGGAAGGAAGGAAGGAAGGAAGGAAGGAAGGAAGGAAGGAAGGAAGGAGGGAAGAAAGAAAGAAGAAAAGAAAAGGAAAGGAAAGAAAGGAAAAGGAGAGAGAGAATGTTTCTCTCCCTTTCCTTTGCCTCTTCTCTCTCTTCTCATAGGAGGGTGCAGACTGAACCCAGGGCCTCACACATGTTCATATTAGGTAAGTGTCCTACACTTATATATCTATACCTCAGCCAGAGAATGTGCTTTTTCAAAACCATTACTGGTTTTGAAATAAAACATTTCAAAATAATGTTTGAATAAAACATTAAAATAAATGTCAACAAAAAGTAGTAATTTTCCTTTTAAACATACTGTACTGAGTGCAAAAAAGGTCACATGAAACTAAAAAGTTAATCTGGCTTCTTAGCATGAGGGGAAAAGAGAACAGCATTCATTTGTAAGTCAAATATGCAACAAAAAGGAAGCTCCAGTCAACCTCTCCCTTACCTTCTTCTCCTACTGCCATTGTTTCCTGATGGCCTCGTTATCTGAGTCGACACGATCTGACAGTGGACAGTTCCCATGAGGAGCATAAGGCACAACGGTCCAAGCACTTCACTCACGTTCACAATAGGCATCATGAGATACAACACGATCGCTGTGACTGTAGAGGATTGAAAATGCAAAGCATTAAAAAGCATACTCTAGTAACTGTACATGCTGCTTCCACAAGCTGTCATTTCTAAAAGAACTAATAAAAGTAAATAATTTCCTAGAATATCATGCACTTGGACATTAACTGAGTAAAAATTAAAGTCACAGATTACTGGGTAAGTGAAAAACAACCTACTGGAAGTATTTTGCAAACTGGTAGCATGATAATCCAGACATCCCTAATGAGCTCCCACCACAGGATAACCAGATGCCATATGCTGCAGACAGTTTTAGGAGTTTTAAGATTTATTTTTACTTATTTGTAAGAGAGAGAGAGAAAGAGACTGTGTGTGTGTGTCTGTGTGTGTGTCTGTGTGTGTGTCAGATCCCCCGAAGCTGGAGTTACAGGTAGTTGTGAGCTGCCCAACATGAGTGCTGGAAACTGAACCTGGGTCCCCTGGAAGAGCAGCAAGTGCTCTTAACTGCTGAGTCATCTCTCTAGCTCCAAAGAAGACAGTTCTGAATAATATTCAATTCAAAGGAAAAGTATTTCCCAAGGCCCAAGGATATCTGTAAAGCAACTACCAAAGCTGGGATTTGAACCCAGGAATTAACTACCATGTTATATTGTTTCTTTTCATTGTGTATATGAGATTTTCAAATAAATAAAAATGAAAACTAGGGTAATATCAAAATTATCTATAGAACTTTCCACTACAGACAATTTTATAGTTCTAACCTTTAATGTATGGTAACTCTCATGTTACTGAGAGTTAGTTGCTGGTGGAGAAAAAGTTAGCACTAACTCAATGGACAAAGATCCTTGTTGGATGAATCTTCTACAAATTCTTACCAAGGCTGAATTTCAAAGAGAACCCTAACTCCAACATGATAACAGCAGAGTATTCACTAACTACATCCCTGCTGATTTGTGAATACAGATAGATTCTCTATAAACTCTAGAAAGCAAGCACGATTCACATACAAATTTCATCCAGGCATTCTTTAATTCCTTATTCTCTATTACTGAACATCTACTCTTCAGATGTGTCTCATGCTGGCTGCATATTGCTCAATTAGGTTTCAGGCCTGCTATCTGTGTTTGTCCACTCAGTTTACCCTGGGGCATTTTTCCATGTGCTCTTCAGCCACACCTCATACTTCCCCTCTTATTCCTGCATCTTTTCTTCTTTCTCTCATCCCTATCACCATCCTCTTTTACTTTTTCATTGTAACCTTCCAGAGATTTAACAATTCATCCCTGCATCGGAGGGGAGAGGAAAGAGGTCTTAACTGGAGGAGGCGATAGACCACATGCAATATGAACGAGGGGAGGGGCTTAAAGGTTTGAGAAGTGGAGAGGTGAGAGGTGAGGGAAAGACAGGACAGAGGATGTGGTGAAGTGGTGGTTTAACCAAAACTAAGTTTGCCTGTGCTCCAGTGGATGGCCCCAGGCCCAGGCAATAAAGGCAGCAATGACTGGACTGGATTCAGTGGGTTTTAAGAACAAAGAAAGACAGACATGAAGTTGGAAGAGGTAATCATTGAAGGGGGTCCAGAGGGAGTTGAACGAAGGAGGAATAGGATCAAACTACATATGTATATGAAACTCTCAAATAAATAAAAATATTTTCTAATAGTTATATATTTATATTTGTATACTTTTATATATATATATATATATATATATATATATATATATATATATATGGGCAAGTCTTAATTATATAAAATTAAACATGTACAACTATTATATGTATATATATATACCCACCAAAGAATTGGTTGGTTTTTGGGTTGTTTTTTTGATTTTTCAAGACAGGGTTTCTTTGTGTATCAGTCCTGGCCATGCTGGAACTCACTTCGTAGACCAGCCTGGTCTCGAACTCACTGAGATCTGCCTGCCTCTGCCTCCCAAGTGCTGGGATTAAAGGCGTGCGCCACCACCGCCTGGCAAGAATTGTTTTAAAATAAATTTCTTTCTGACTTTTTTTCTTTTCTTTTCCTTGGGTTTTTTAATTCTTTTTTTTTTTTTGGTTGTTTTTTTGTTTTGTTATTTTGTAGAGGGTGTTTTTTTTGGGGGGTAGGGGTTATGATAGGGTCTCACCATATAACTATAGTTGGCTGGCCATGAACTCATAGAGATCCACCTGCTCCTTCCTCCTGAATGCTGGGATTAAAAGTGTAGGTCACACAAAAAACGAAAAAAAAAAAAAAAAAAAAAAGTGTAGGTCACCATGCCTGGCTAAAAGAATTTTTATATTTATTTATTTTGTTATATGTATGAATGTTTTATCTGCATGTTTTTTGCCACATTATGCCTGCTGTCCACAGAGATGTGAATAATAGTAAGCTGCTAGGTGGGTGCTGGGAACTGAACTAGTAATCTTAACCACTGAGTCAACTTTCCATCCCTTCTTTCTAATTAGCAGTAAATGTTTGGTTTATATATTTATTTTATATACCTGTATATCCAGTATGGTGATTAGTTTTATATCAACTTGACAAAAGCTAGGGTGATTGAAAGGAAGGAACCTCAATGAAGAAAATGCCCCCATAAGATCCTGCTGTAGGGCATTTTCTTAGTGATTGATGGGGAGGACCCACTCCATTGTGAACGGTGACAACCCTGGGCCAGTGGTCCTGGGTTCTATAAGAAAGCAGGCTGAGAAAGCCATGGAGAGCAAGCCAGTAAGCAGCACCCCTCTATGACCTATGCATCAGCTTCTGCCTCCAGGTTCCTGCTCTAAGTTCCTGTCTTGACTTCCTTTAGTGATGGACTACAATGTGGACATGTAAGCTGAAATAAACCCTCTCCTCCCCAACCTGCTTTGGGTCATGGTGTTTCATTGCAGCAATAGGAACCCTAACTAAGGTTATGCCACCTATCCAGGGTGGCATAAAAAATTTCTTAAGGAAAAATAATTGCAAGTGGAAAAGGTTTAAAGGCCTGCATTAAAACTCAAATGAAAGGGTGAGAGATTACAGTAAGTCTCCTTTAAGTATAGAAAAAGTAATCATCATAGTTTATTCCATTCTTGAGTTACCTTGCATGAGGTAAAGCAGCAGCAACCAAACAAAGATTCTGAGAGAGGTAACCTGAATCCACCAACTGCTGAACAACGGAAAAAACACCACTCGAACGAGCCCCTTCCGAGTGAGAGATGTCCATGGAATCTCAGGCTTGGCTTTGGCAAATGTTGAGCCTTTAAACAGTCAATAAAAAAAATAAACATTTATTAAAATGCATAAGAAACATGTATATGCACTGTACTGATGGCCATTTGTCACCTTACATTAGAATGGGGGCATGGGGTAAAAATCAGCACATGACCTGGTCAGCTAAGGTGCTGGCAAGACTTCTAAGATGCTCTCACCTCAGGCACAAGGACAGGTGCTCAAAACAAGTCAGGCTCACCTGAATGGCAAACAATACATTCTTCTTAATGATACAACAACAATCTCCAAAGCATCTCCCTTTCGCCTTTATTAAAACCATGCTATTTACATAACCCCAAAGCATTACAGCAAAGGAAGAAAGTGCAAAACCTTGAATGATAATGGAGAAAGGTTACTTTTAAAAGTAATTATGCCACAATATATGGAAGATACCTAAAACTATTCTATGGCACCAGAATGAAATAACATAATAACAAACGAGGTGAGGTGAACGTCCTGCAATCCCAGTACTTGGGAAGTTGAGGTGGGAAGATTGAGCTTGAAGCTGTGTGTGGGGTGGAGGGGGACACAAAAAGGAGGGGAAGGGGAAAGCTGAGGGAGGAAGAGAGGGAAGGAGGAAGAGAGGAAAGGATGGGGTTGGGAAGAGCACTAGTTTGGTTTCTATTGCTGTGATGAAGCACTACCAATAGCAACTTGGAGACGGAAGGGTTTCCTTCACCTTATCCCTTATAGTGCATCACTGAGGAAAGCTAACACAGGAACTAAGGGCAGGAACCTGGAGGCAGGAACTGAAGCGGAGACCATAGAGAAATGCTGCTTACTGGCTTGCTCCCTTAGCTGCTCAGCCTGCTTTCTTATACAGCCAGGACCACCTGCCCAGGGGTGGCATCTCTCAAGTGAGCTGGGCATTCCCACATCAATGATTAACCAAAAAATACCCCAAAGACATGCCCACAAGTCAATCTGATACAGGGGTAATTCCTCAATTGAGGTTTCTTCTCAGGTGACTCTAGTTTGTCAAGTTGTGAGAGGAAAGAAAAAGAATGAAAATATGTAATATGTATATAAAAAAACAAATAAATTTTCCAACTCACCTCTGATTAAGTCAACATCAATCAAGTCTGGCTTTATGTGACCCATTTTTTTTGGTTTGTTTTTGAAGCCCTATGATAAAACAAAACAAAAACAGAAATGAATCAAGAAAAACAGTTCTTTTAAGAGTAAAAGATAAGCTGGGCGGTGGTGGCGCACGCCTTTAATCCCAGCACTCGGGAGGCAGAGCCAGGCGGATCTCTGTGAGTTCGAGGCCAGCCTGGGCTACCAAGTGAGTTCCAGGAGAGGCGCAAAGCTACACAGAGAAACCCTGTCTCGAAAAACCAAAAAAAAAAAAAAAAAAAAAAAAAAAAAAGAGTAAAAGATAAACTGTCTTCTTCCTTTTGGTATGGTGACTACCGACCCTGTGAGCATCTGAGGTGCTGCCACTGTCCCATCTCCTAATCGGGTGCTCTTCATTGAGTCCCATTCCTTGGAGAAACTCAAGCTGTGTGCTGTAACTATCTACGTGTGCACATTGTCATCCGTTTTTATTTTGTCAAAGTACAGCTTATAGACTCAGGGCTTCGGCTTCATGGTTGAATATGAGTTAAGGCTGGACATCTCCTTTACAAAACTGCCAAGTGTCAATAATCAGGGGTGGTTTTCCTGGAGTCTCAAAGAATCCTCCAACATTTTCCTTGCTTGGGAGTTACAGGCTGGAGGATTCTGGGTGGAAGTTTGCAGATTAAGCTAAAGAGTTTTATTATCTTGATTTATAGTTAACCCTTTATCTAACCTGAAGACTCTCCAATGCACTTTATCCAAGGTAGCATCCCAAGCTTCCTACCTAAGGGCATTGTTATCTATTAAGGTGCTGGGTGATGGAGGTCTAACTTTTTTGCATGCAAACTCTACCCAATTCCTAATTTCTGAGGCCCAAAGTTCATCTTTGCCTCAAAACAATCAGGTGCATCCAAGGCACCAGACTCTCAGGAAGCTGCTGGGCAAGCTTCCACTCAGCATTCTTCTCTGAGATCCAGATACTCCTGGAATTTATCATCTGCTAAGAGGTTCCTCTTCAGTCCTATTTCTTAATATTGTGATGTATCCATTTGAGAAAACCCTTGTATGTATCTACTTTATGTAATTTAGCCATGAACATTTTTTCAGAGTATTAAATAAAAAGCTTTCTTGGGCCTTGGTCTTCTATCATTTCATATTAAAGTAGTTTAGTCTGCAGTGTTACTATATGTTAGTCCACTTATCTAAGATCAATGTAAGAATTTTGCTGCATCCTCAAGTTTCTAATAGTTCTAAAATTGACCACTGTTGCTTCAAAGACATGGCATTTCCTATTTTGTTGTTTTTAGAAGAAAAAGTGAGAATCTGAATGTCACAATAACCTTGCCATATAGTAAGTGTATATTTATGAAATTATCTTTTGACTTTCTTTCAAACTTTGGTTTGTCTAACTTGCTACTAATCTTTTAAGAGATAAATGTAGGTAAACTAATAGCTCAGGGGACTAAGTGTTTGCCACTCGAGTGTGAGAATCTAGAGATCAGAACTCTAGAACCAATGGAAAGCCACATGCAGAACACACCTGTATAGCCCTAACACTCCTATGGTGAGGTAGGAGGCAGAGACAGGAGAATTCCTAGCTTACAGGCCCACTGCCTGGCATACACATGACTAACAAGAAACCTTGTTTCAAACAAAGTGAAAGTCAAGGACTGATTCTTGAGGTTGTCCTTTGACCTCCACACACATGCTCTTTCAGGTCACCAGGCTTTAGTTCCCAGCACCCACATGGCAGCAACCATCCACAACTCCAGTTCCAGGGAATCCAGACTCTCCTGTGGCTTCCAAGGACAGGCACTGCATGTATGTGGTTTATAGATATATATGCAGGCATGATACTCATACACAAAATAAAACTTTAAGAGAGAAAGAGATGAATTTTAATTTCAAACTCAACTAAAACTTGTAGAAGCTACTTGTTAAGTTTTGAAATCAGATGTTTAGCTACCAAAGTTAGTGTAAAAGGTTAAGCACATTTGCTCTGCGAGCAGAAGGACCTGAGTTTGAGTCTCCAGCTCCCATATAAAAGCTAGGCATGGCTGCAGGTACCTGTAACCCCAGCATCAGGAGAGACAGATTCCAAGAGCTCAGCAGCCAACCTACCCGGCCTATATACCAGAGTTCCAGTACAATGAGAGACCTTTCTCAAGATGGTAAGTCAGAGAATGAGAGCAAGCCGTCTAAATTCCTGCTGGGGTCTCCTGATGCACACATGAACACAACATACCCACAGTCATATGTATGCAACACACACAAAGTTAATATAAAATCTCAAGGTTACAGTAATAGAGGCAGTTATCTTTGGCTCTTTTTAACTAAATTGATGGGGTCAAACAATTTTAAGTAAACCCTACATTTCAATTCAACTACAGGCTGCAGATACCACATACAGAAAAATTCCCTACGACCCTAAATTACAATAAAATTATATGGTAATTTAAGAGAAAAAAAAAAACTCCAAAGAAGCATGTATACTATATACACATACACACATATATACATATATATGTATATATACATGTGTATATATATGCTTGTCATAAAACATTATATTCAAATTCAAAAGTTAACAATTTCAAAATAAAAATATTACTATATTTTACTCTAATAGAAATAGGCCTTGTAGCCATCCCATTCATGGGAGCTTCAAGTCTTTGTTCTCTTCATTCTTTACCTATTATGTTAAGAGAAATATGATTAGCATTAAGAAGAGAATTATGTAACCCTCCCTCACTGCTTAGTCAATAAATACTTAACATGCATCTTCCATGTTAGACATTCTACCTGGATAGATATAAAGTAAAAAGTGAGTCAGTACAGGGTCTGTCTTCAAAGAATGTATACTACAGAAGAGAAGATGGACTGTAAGGCAATGTATGAGGGTCTCTCAGGAACAAGCCCCTGAACTCCTCTATCATTTTTCTTTCCTAAGGGGAGAGAAGTCATTAATAAATTCATGACCACTGCTCTTAAGGGAAATAAACAACACACTGGGCACAGTGGCCCACATTTGGAATCCCAGCACTTGGGAGGCTAAGACAGAAGGATAACCATGAGTTTGAGACTTGCCTGAAGTGCCACATAACAAAACTATTTCAAAACAAAACAAGGTACAAGTTACCATATACTTTAATATATGTTGAACAGAAGGACCATAAAAACAAAAACCCTATACCATCTTTTTGCTGAAAATCTTTCTGCTATATCCTGTAGGCTATACAGCATGTGTAAGAGGAACAAGTATCTGACAGGGCAACCCACAGAGACAGCTGATTTGAGCTCGTGGGAGCTCGGGGACTCTAGACCGACCTAGGCCCTCTGAATGTGGGTGACAGTTGTGTAGCTTGGTCTATTTGTGGCCCCTAGCAGTGGTACCAGGAACTGTCCCTGGTGCATGAGCTGGCTTTTTGGAACCTACTTCCTATGATGGAATGCCTTGCTCAGCCTTGATGCAGTGGGGGAAGAGCTTGGTCCTGCCTCAATTTGGTATGCCATGCTTTATTGACTCCCATGGGAGGTCTGCCCCTTTCTGAGGATTGGACTGGGGAGGCAAGGGTGGAGAGGAGGTGGGAAAACTGTGGTTGGCATTTAAAATAAAGAAAAAGAAGCACATGTGTCAGACACTTTACAAACACTTCAAATAGCTGTTCTGTGAGACTGAAAACTTTATTGTCCTCACTTTATAGCTAAAGAAACCAAGACCCAGAGATCCAAACCAAGTTACTCTCAGTCTTCATCATTATACATCCTTGCTCTTGCTACATGAAACCAAATGCATCTGACAGCAAAAGGAGTTTTTGTTGGAGATCAAACAATATGGCCTGACCTGGAAAGCTTTAATGAGTAAACCCTGGGGGCTGTTAGTGATTTCCTCATTTGTTCCACACAATCTCTATCTTAGCAAGGAAAGACTGCAGGATGGAAGTGGGACACCCCTGCAGTGTCCCAGTGTGCCACTCCTATGTGGCAGCCTAGACCTCTGCAGAGTCCTCTCCCATAGTAAACTCCTAACAAAACTGTGATACCGTGTCACAAGTTTGGAAGCACCTTACAAAAAACCCTGGGCAGGTTACTGCAATTAGGACAAAACCTCTGACATATCACCTTAAGGAAAGGATAAAACACACTGGACGTAACTGCTGCAACATCAGTGGACTGCGTGTGTAACCGTGAATAAAAACAGTAAGTGAAGCCCTGTAATTCCTCCCTATTTCCCAGTGTATTGAATTTTCATTTTATTGCCACTAAAAGAATAAAACTACAATAAAGTCAAGCACAAAAGGGGAAGCAACCTTTGACTTGCTAGGGCACACTGTGCACACTGTGGTTTGAATATGAGATACTCCCCCATGTGCTTATGGTGAACATTTTTTCACCTGGTAGTGGCAATGTTTGGGGAAGTTGTGGAAACTTTAGGTGGGGCCTCAACGTAGTAAGTCTTTAGTGACATGCCATGGAATGTTATACCTGCTCCCAACTTTCTTCCTTACTCTCTGCTTCCTGTCCACAAGGCGAGTCCTCGCCTCCTCATACTCCTGTTTCCATGATATTGGACTTTACAAGGAGCCCAAAAAATGGAGCCAAAGGATCATGAGCAAAATAAGTCATTCCCTTTTTTGTTGCTTTATCAGAGACTGTGTTAAGGAGATGAGAAAATGACAACAACAGAGGGCATGTTGTCAACAACAAAAAGCAGTGGCAGCGCGAACAGCACTGGAGGACATGTATAACGTACACCTAACTCAATTCTGAGAAGGGGGGAGTCAGGGAAAGAGTTCTCAAGGAAAGTAATACCTGGGACACAATCAGGACTTCAGACCAGGTGACAGGAGCCTTTATCTGCTGAGCCACCTTACTGGCTCCACTTCTTGAGTTTCTTTTCTCGTGTTCTCTCATACTGCTTAGAGATCTGGTAGCATCTTTTTCTCCCAACTTTTCTACTAAATTTATTCTGAGCAATTTTTCTTTCTCTTTTATTTGTGAGCAAGTGCTCTATCACTGAGCAATATACAACCCTGCCCCACATTTTCATCTATAACATCTTTTTG